AAAACATAAATGCTCGAGGGAAGAGAGGTTTCGAAGGAGGCCTTTTGATATGGATTTCAAATTTTCCATCCATCCTATAGTAAGACTTCTTAGAGAAACCGGAAGCTGCAAATTATCCGGAGGACATATCCACCCAATTCCGAATGATTTAAGTGAGGTAAGTCTGTTGAGGCCCCACCCTAACATCGACTGCCTCATGCCTCCACATCCGATTACAAGTGTTTCTAGGTTTAGAGGAAAACCTCCTTCTGGTATGAATGCGATACCTGGACAATTCCATATAAGTAAATATCGAATAGACGTAAGGTCGCACATCTCATTGGGTAAAGACTTGAGATCCTTCAAATTCCAAATCTTCAAAGTTTCAAGATTAGGGACGGACAACGGGCCGATTTCTGGCAAGGACTCTAAACCATCACAAGAATCCAACTCTAATTCAACAAGACCGCTAAGGTTGTGCATGAAATCAATAGGTAAGCTTCTGAGATTCTCCACATACTCAATCCGCATCTCTTCAAGTTGTGTACAATCCTGCAGCAACCTGTCTGGAAGTGACTCCAATTGCTTGCACTCCCTAATTTCCAGCCTCTTAAGAGCACTTAGTAACTTGGAACTAGGAAAACACTTCAGAGATGGGAGATTATAAATCTCCAAATGTTCAAAATTCACTCCCTCTGGTAAGGACTCTAAATTTTCACAATTCTGAATTTTCAGCCTTTTCAATGTGCTGGGTAACTTGTCTCTGGGAAAAGATTTGAGCTGTTCACATCCTTTAATGACTAATTCTTCAAGTTGCAGCATATTGTTGCCTCCATCCCCAATTTTCATCAATCCATCAGGCAATGACTCCAAAACCACCAAATCCTTGAGCTGAAGCATTTTGAGATGCAATGGCAAGCCATTTACTGGAAAGCGCACAAATTTTTTGCACTTTTTTATGGACAATTCCTTAAGGCAAGTGAGAGCATGCAGTCCATTAGGTAGGCAATCAAGGTTATCACACTTTTCTAAACTCAAAATTTCAAGACTAGAAGGCAGAAGGTCTGGCAAGGATACAAGTAGAGGGCACTTCTTAATCCTTAGACACTTAAGACTGAGAAGACTAGCTCCGTCCTCCCACAAGCAAGTAAGTTCATCACATTCTTCAATGTCTACTGTTTCAACAGCTGACAAGAACTGTGTTATGCTTTTAGGCAAGCAGGTAAGCTTTGAAATTCTCTTAATCTCCAAAGAGGTGAGGCAAGTGACATTCATCATGCTCCTAAGGATTGCCTCATTACAATCTGTTATTTCCAACACTCGAAGTGATGGGAGACTCAATGGTGAACAACTTAATTGAGGACACCTTCTAATCACAAGACTTTTGAGAGAAGGAAGGTGGTCAGGAAATTTTCCGATCAACTTGCAACAGTCCTCCAATGTCAGCTCCTCTAGTGATGAAAAACTACCAAAAGAGGAATTATCTCCATTAAACTCAGGCATGCCTTTTATGATCAATTCTTTTAGCAATGATAATTGCCCAAGGGATGGTAGTGAAGTGATGTTTTGACAACCATATAGTTCCAGGTACTCCAATTTGGAAAATGATGGATCACCTATCCAAGATGGAAATTCCAATCCACAAAAGAACTTGATCGTAAACCTCTTTAAATTGTGATGAGGTTTCATCTGACCAAGTACCTTATCTTCATTGCTTACATTTCGTGAAATCTGCGAATCATTGGTCCATTGCAAGACTAACTCATCGAGGCCCTCAATCTCATATAGGTTGGCTTCATTAGCATCTCGAAAATTTAAGACATTATGCAGATCTGAGATGAGTAATCTGCCTTGAAGATGCTTCAAGTTTTTCAACTCTCCCAATCTTAGCCCACCATCTTTCCCAATAATAAATTTGGACAGAGTCAAAAGATTTGTCAGCCGGCCAATTCCTGATGGTAACTCCTTTAACTTCCATGTACCAGCAATATCAAGATGAAGCAAGTCAACTAAATTCACAATACCCTCTGGCAATCGAGTAAGGCTTCCACAGTTGCACAATATCAATGTCTGCAAGTATAGAAGAAAACTCATAGAATTAGGCAGACTTTGGATTGAAGTGCCAGATAAATTAATATAGCACAAAAGCTTCAAATCTCCAATTGAATCTGGAACCTTCTTTATCCTATAACCACTTAAAGACAAGACCCTTAAGCATCTCAACTTTGAAAACAAATCATTCACAACTCTATTTGATAAGAAGTTCCATCCATTGCTGCCAGCTAGAGATAGTGGTAGAAATGTCCGCAAACTCTTCATTTTCTCCATCATTTCAAATCTCTGATAAGTATCATATTGACCAAGAAAGAATGAAAGATGGCGAGTGACTTCTGGTTTTGTGTTCACCGATGAACTTAGTTGATAGCAAGTTTCTGAAGCAACTTCTCGAGCTAAATCAATCACAAGGTCATGCATAACATAGAGTGATAAATTGCTGCTTGATCGCTGAAAAAACGACCTCAATAACAAATCACGAAAGCATTGATGACCTAAGCTTTTCATTTCCTTCACTTCATCTATTTGTTGTTGTCGATGATGCCCCTCTCCATCTTTCTGTTTTTGTCGAAGAAGGCCCTGTGCCATCCATAATAAAACCAAATCATCCTCATCGAATTCAAAACCATTCGGAAATATAGCACAGTATGCAAAGCATCCTTTCAAATGAGAAGGAAGATGATGATAGCTAAATCTCAATACAGGAAGAATTCCGTCATGCCGTTCTGATGACTTCCATGTCTCATCTTTTAATACCTCCCTCCAACTCCTAGGATTTAATTGACATCCACGAAGGAGTCCTGCAATGCTTTTTACTGCCAAAGGCAACCCTCCGCAATCCTTCACTATTTTTCCACCAATTTCTTTGAATTCCTCATATGAATTAAAATCTTCTCTTTCTAGTGCATGTCTGGCAAGAATTGATAAACAATCATTATCTGAGAGCAATTCAAGAGTATAAACCCAACCATCTATTCTCATGATTTTTGCGACATCCTTATTGCGTGTTGTAACAATGATTTTGCTCCCTGGGGCTCCCAATACAAAAAGTTCTTGTAATCTGTCCCAAGGGCCGTAGCTATCATTCCAAACATCATCAAGTACAAGTAAAAACTTCTTTCCAGACAGCAATCCTCTCAACTTCTCTTGAGGCGTTTGTCCCTCCGTGTTTTTCCCACGTATTTCTTCATTCATTTGTTTCCCACGTATTTCTTCATTCATTTGTTTCCCACGTATTTCATCATTTATTTGTTTCCCACGTATTT